CAGTGAGGAAGAGGTAGAGGCGGTGAGGAAGAGGGCAGAGAGGGAGACGAGAATGTAGAGGAGGAATATAATAGAAATGATTTAGGTTTTGTTTGGGATTAGGGTTATGTTTTAATATATTACCTGATTTTTGATTAAACAAATTTTGCACCTGATTTTTAAAAAGTAAACTTTAAATCCTGATTTTTTATAATTTCCCTTATGGGGTATGCTAAAGTAGTGTTTGATTTGATGGGCTGTGCATGAGTTCGAGTAAGTGGCCAATTGGGTATAAAAGGGTCTGTTAATTTGGGCAATTGGGCTTTTCACTTTTTAGATGATTAGTTCGATTTCTTTCTAGGTTATTCATGATGAATATTATAAACTCTGAGGGAAAGATTCAGCTCATTCATTTGGCTTTTTCCGTTTTATATCCTGAGTAGTTTAAGTAGTTAAGCATGATATGGGAGTTTTGCACTGTTAGCATACTTCTTGGTTTATTTTGATGTTGACTTGATTTCATGTAATTTTTAGAATTAAATTCAACAGAATGATTATGACTCTAATGTAAGCATGCTTATGCATTTTTGTTGAATGATGGAGCTCAAAGGTGATATAGTTTAAAGGAAATAACATTATAGAAAATTTAAGGATAATCTAATAGCTATGCATTATCTTAAAAGATACACAGTGGAATAACTTAACACTGTTTCACGGGTGACAGCAAAAATGAGTCAAAATTGATACTGTGTGTGGCAGTTGAAGTTTGACTATCTCTTGATCTTGTCATTTCGATACCTAGAAAATATTTGAGATTTCCCAAGTCTTTTTTCTCCAACTCTTTGGTAAGTTGTGTCTTTATTTCTCTTATTTTTATGAGGTGAATTTTCTCATGAGGTGAATATTTGAAGGATGATGTATACCAGGATTAGCAAATCAACTGAGATTCAAACAATCCTCTTGTTTCTTTTACCAGATCTTCGTTGGAATCAGGCTGAGTGAATTTGCCACTATGGTTCTGATAGGATTAGCTTTAAAATTTTGGTTATGCTAAGTATTTGAAAGCATTTACTGGTTTTACCCTTTTTAAATTACCAAAATATTCAATTGAGTACACCAGATGGTAAGGAATGTAAAATCTAAATATTACTGGAATTTGAACTATGCCATTTCCTATTGAAATTCATGGCAAAACATGATTGCATCAAGAGGCAAGACATGTTTTGCACCTTAATATGTATTTTTCTCTATAAGCATCATATTTTGTCTCTTTTGTCTAATGGAAAGTAATTGTGATTGACAAGAGTGTTTTGATTTTCCGTTCAGCTATTGGCATTTCTGGTGGCCCTGACAGCATGGTCCTGTGTGTTTTAGCTGCACACTGGAAAAGTGAAACTCATAATCCTGTTAATTAAGGGGATTTCTTTTGCGTTTTTGCTGACTTGTCTTACTGTAGCTGGTTGTTACCTTTGTCCAGCTCCAGGGTCTAAAGGAACTAAAATCCTAGTATGCTGTTCTGTTAATTCGCCATTTCCTCCAACAATGAAGTTATTTGAAGCCTGCACGTTCGGAGGACATGAATGCTTTGTTTCAAGCGAGAGCAAATTATAGCTTGTGGGATAGCGTATTCTGATAAATTTCTCCCAGATGCTTTAAATTCGCCATCTATGGATATAACATCCTGTGTATCTGTTCTTACTGAAGCCAAAAGGTTGGGCATTCTTAGTGACTCTACCCATAGGAGTATTGTTTCTTTGCAGAAAGAAGAAAGTGAGAATTTTAAGTCTAAACCTGATATCACTGAATGTGAGACGAAAGATGATGTACAACATGCAGGTGCTCCTCCCAGCAAATCAATTTATCCTGGACAAGTAGGATACTTCATGAACAGATTTATATTGTAAAACGTCTCCTAATATATCATCTATGACTGAGGTTGTGGGGGACGAAGATTTGGTTGTTGGAAGGACAGTGTTGTAGTTCTTGCATGATTGATCATCAGACGGGGGCTGAAGTGCGCCACATGATTGATACTGATTGAATATATCTTTCTAACTTGTCCAAGTTGAGAAACATGGAAAATTTTCAACAACACACTCACTCCAAGAAAATGATCACGTGTTCAGATCATGCCAAATTATCAGCACATAGAGCTCTTATGTCCTTAAAATCTATCCCAGTTGCTGCAAGAAGAGCCATGCCCCGTCCTGGTCAATCCTCAAGGAGTTCTACTAAATATTCCTGTATGTTACTTGCTGTTTCCTCCATCCGATTGCTGCATTGTTTACTTCTCACTGTGATTATGCCCCCTTTTCCATAGGATTTCTAGACATTTTATCATCTTGTTCATCTTTGGATCTTTCTTCTTGTGCTTACCAATTTTTTTTAAGTTAACCTCGGTATTGGTTAATAAACACAGCTGGTAGCTCAACTTTTAGAGGAAAATTTCACGTTGGTTGGTGAATTTAAATATTTGTTAAATTTAATTATTTTGTCCATGCCCATTAGTTTGACAAACGGAAAAGCTGAAGTGAGAGTCTAGTTGGCAAATAACTAGACTACAACGTTACCATTGCTGTTAGTCAAATTAATGGAGCGACTGAATAGTAATAAAGTAAAAGTTTAGTGACCAACGTGAAATTGCTCTCAAAGTTCAATGACAACCAGTATATTTAACTCCATCGATGTTAATTTTTAATCTGCTTGCCACCTTTGTATCTTTTTATTCTCGTATCAAATACCTCGTCTTTTCTAGGACTAACAAGCTGCCCAATCGTTTACTCGTCTCAGGGCATTGACTTCACACATTGCCCATGCTTGATGGTATCTGCTGTATTCAAGCCGAGTATATCTCTTGGTGGAGGTCATAGCTCATATTTATAGTCTATAGTTAGTGATTTCTGTTCATATCGATCATGTTTGGCTGATCTTAAAAGTTACTTTTTTTGAAAGTACGCAGAATGTCATCCGACATTATCCTGAAGAACCTTTACCTTCTTTAAACCCAATGTCAAAAAAAAGGTCAATTTATTTGGGTTTAGAAGCGGCTATGTATATGCTGATGCTTTTTCAATTATGATTGTTAATTTTAAGAGTTGATCATAGATGTAAAAACAATAATTAACATAAAAGAATAAACTTACTCTTCTTAATAAAATTAACTATGCATGCAATAGGTGTCAACTCGCAACAAGATACGAAGTATTCAAGCAAATAATTTATTAATTATAATTTTTTATGTACTTCACAATAAATTAAAGAAAAATTGCATATTTTCTTCCCAATCTTTCAAAATGGCTGGAAAAATTCAAGTCTTAAACGAGTTCTATCAATGCGAGAATCTAATTTTATTTTATTTTCTTTTACATAATTTAAGAACAACTTTTAATTATTTACTTTAAACTATCATGGTTACTTATTCACGAGAAGTTCAAAGCTTCACTTTTTCAAGGAGTGAATGGAATATCACAAGTGAGATCGAACTTTTAAGTTTAGCCAAACAGCTCTTATAACGTCAAACGAGTGGAAGTATATTTTTCAAACATGAAAATGTGGAAAATTGACGTGGCAGGCTTTGCTGCCACTCGGCTGCATTTCCTGATTCCCTCTAAGCCTCTAGATAGAAACTGAGAAAAACAAAAAAAAATCTCTCTTTTTTTCTGATTTCTGATAATATATGTGGATAAGATTAACCCAAGCAGATGCCACTTCACTACAATACAATCTCATTTTATACAGATTCTAATCTGCTACCATGCAATTTCTTCCCCTTTCTCTGGACCCAACTCAAATCAACAAGGTACTCTCTCTCTCTCTCTCTGTAGAGCGTGTGTTGTGTGTGCCATTTTGATACATACTGATGATCGTGTGTTAAATAATTTTTGTTTCCCATTTTGTGCACTGACTTCTTGAATCTGTTGCTTCAAGTTAGAACACAATGGGTAGTTAATTTTGTGGGTGTTTTAAGTGTGGAGGTAACTGTTATAATGGTGCTTTTGAATGATTCTCTATTTAAAGTGAGTTCAGTCAGTTACTCTTTTAAGATATCGTTTATCTTAGTCCCATTTGTATAAGCCTGATCCCTACATGCCAGAGTAATAATAGAATAGAAAAACAATCAAACAGATCGAGTAGCACATTATTGAAATGAACGAAGTACATACAGATTTACAGTAGTTCACCATTATTGAGGGAACCTTGTTAGGAGTAGCACATTCCCTTATACATTGGTAGGCTTTTTCATGTCTAAGTAACGTGGGATTTATCCTTAACATGATTCCAAGATGGTGGCTCATTTGAGGAAACCAATCTTGGAATTCGATTGATTATATGAGCATCAAACAGATCGAGTTACTCATTTGAGCTTAATGAGCTTTGATATCATATTTGGACTTGCAATTCCATCTTGATAGGATCAAGTTGCTCTCTTGAGTTGGGCTTTGATAATATGACTTGGGTGCTATTGTAAATTTCTCGTGCAATGGAGAAATAGGTTACAAGGTTACCATGCTCCTGTCTATCTTGTCTATACTAAAAATATCCCTTAAAATCCTTTATATATATGATAAGAATATTATGCTGACCTAATACGTGTGTGGATTACCCAGAAAATTTTACAGTACTTTTCTTAAATATATGCTTGAATTTGCTTTCCTTACTTGATGGTGGGGGTTCATGTTATTGGTTTTCGCTGCGAGTTTAAATTTTCCTTTTATAATTCGATTGAAGAGAAGTTTTAGTAGATGATACGTACATCGTGGGGCTTCTCACTTTATGGTTCTTGATATGTTCCATCTTTGATACTAGCTAAGCTTGCATACATACATCCGCTTAATTAAGTGTGTAGAATTCACAATATTTCAAAGCTTAAATCAACTAAGTTTCTCCTTCCACTTCCTCAATGCATGTTTAGTACCTTGTATTAGAGAGAATTGGAAATTAGGGTCCGTTTGATTGCAAGGGTGGAAAATGGGTGGAAAGAAAATGTTTTACAGGGAATTGATTTTCTTAGACAATGTTTTACTGAGAATTGTAATTAATTGTGTTTGATTGGTATAATTTTCCATGGAAAATGTTGAAAGTTTGGTGTCCATTTGTCTTCGTTTTTTATGGAATTTGTCCATTAAAGTGATAATTTTTTCTACCATTGGGTCTAAAATGTGTTCCAATTGTTAAAAAAAAAAAATTTGAAAAAAAAAAATTTACCATACCGAATATTCTTCGTTTGACTTTGTTTTGCATGGAAGTTGTCAATAAAAGTGAAATTTTTTTTTACCATTGTATCTAGAATTTATTCCCATTGCAAAAACAAACAAAAAAAAAAAGCTGGAAAATATTTTTTCACCTAATAGGTGAAAAAACATTTTCCACCATTTGTGCATCAAAGGGTTGTACCTAGAAAAAGGGAGAAAAACATTTTCCATGGAAAATTTCGCATATCAAACAGTCAAAAAGTGGAAGTAGGAAAATCCATGGAAAATTACGCGAATCAAACAGAGCCTTACAATAATGAAGATTTTATATTCTTTTCTTATTTTAATAATACTTTTTTTATAGGATAATCCTCCTTACGAGACAAAAAATAAATATATGCATCAGTCTTCAGAGCTTCTGAACTATGATCTTGAACACTGTTTGTTTGCTCCAAGGGCATATTTTTAAAGTGAACACGTCTTCTTGAAGATATTGATACTGATTGCGCAGCACAATTGATTAGTATGAAATGAAGCGTTGAACTATGTCCAATTGTTGTCCACTTTTTCAACATGCGTGTAGATTTAGGCATCTCACAGAGCACACATTTACAAAGTACTAAATTGACACTGATCCAGTGGCTCTGAGTTATTGTTCGGTATTATCTAATGTAGGAAAAGTCAGTGCTAAAATTTGAAGTAAAACTTTAGATCAGCTTGGTTCTAATATTGAACCTGTGATTGCCACCATAAAAATTGGATTTCATTGAAGTTTGTTAAATTGATTAGTTCACTACTGGATAACATTTGCGTAGTATTTGTGTATTGTTTTTGTAAAATATTTCCCCAACTATAATTAATATGCCGAGTCAGTAGCAGGAGAAGGTTCAGATGCATACAGGTAATCATTAGAAGATATGGGAGACTCGCGTAAAGAGAGGACCCAATCTATTGTCAAAAGAAAGCGGCCGAATGGAACAATCACGAGCAAGACACAAATTCAAGCATCGGTCTTGATGGTATGGCTAAAGTAACTCCACGAGTTTATTGAATTTATTTGAATTAGATGAGGGGTCTTATTTAAACAGTTCCTTGGATTTTTCATGATTTTTTTTTTGTGCTAATATATGGGCTTGCCATATCCCACAGAGAAATAATGGCAAAGTTGAAATTTTGTTTAAAAGAAAATTAATTTGTATTTTCAGACCATTATAACATTGATTTTTGAGATACTTTATACTGTATCTTTAAAATTTTGATATTGATAATTTTGTATGTTTATTTAATTTCCTTAGTGGAGTGTGAGAATTTTATATCACATGGTTTACTAACAAATAACAATATTCTATCTTTCACAATTGTGCACCTACAAAGTTCTTCTTGCTTAACCATGAAATTCAACAAACCAAGCATATCAATCAGCTGATTTTCTGATAATCTTTCTCGGACAATGATTTTCAGCTGCCGATCTTTGAAGTCTGAAAAAATCATTCCATATTGTTCAAACTTATATTAGACTGCCTCTTTGTTAAACAAATGGCGACACACATTGATTGTTTGTCGGTAACTTCATCGTTGTGCAGGAGCCACATGTGCAAGAGGAACAATTACATTCTTTTTCAGCTTCAGTAAACACTCCAAGCGAATCCTCCTGTCCCATTTGCTCGAGCAATAATAGTTGCCAAACAGTTCGCTCGAGAACAAAGTTGATGAATACTTTGATAGAGACAGGGAAGCCTCGCGAAGTCCACTCTGTTTTCAAAGGTTTAATGGAAGAAGGACACAGGCCGACCCTCGTAACATATACAACTGTTTTAACCGCACTTACTCTGGAGAAGCGTTTCAAGTCAATTCCGTCACTCCTTAATAAGGTTGAAGAGAATGGATTAAAAGCCGACTCTATATTCTTCAATGCAATGATTAATGCTTTCTCTGAATCAGGAAACATTAAGGAAGCAATGAAAATATTCCGAAAAATGAGAGAGAAAGGGTGTAAGCCAACAACCAGTACCTTCAATACCTTAATTAAAGGGTTCGGAATCAGTGGTAAGCCCGAAGAATGTTTGAAACTGTTTGATATAATGTTACAGGAAGAAAATGTGAAACCAAATGACAGGACGTATAATATTCTCATTCGAGCTTGGTGTAACAAGGGAGACATTTTGGAAGCATGGAACGTGGTCTACAAAATGATTTCAGCTGGCGTCAAACCTGATGCTGTGACATACAATACAATAGCAAAGGCCTATGCTCAGAATGGTGACACCAGTCGAGCTGAAGCAATGATATTTCAGATGCTAAACGACAAAGTGAAACCAAACGAGCGGACATGTGGTATTATTGTAAATGGTTATTGCGAAGAAGGTAATATGACGGATGCATTCAGATTTGTGTATAAGATGAAGGATCTTGGAGTGCATCCAAATCTCATCATATTCAACTCACTTGTCAAAGGGTTTCTCGACTGTTCTGATCCTGATGGAGTTGATGAGGTAAGCTTTGATTTTTGATGATGACAAAATGAATTTCTCTCAATCGAAATATTCTGTGTTAAAGACAAATGAGAAGAATCGTCCAGCAGTTTCATTTATATTGTTCAATTGCTTCAGTTTCTTAATTTAGCAAGAGGATGTTTATGTCCTAGACAAACAAGGCCATGCACTGTCATTTTTTATTTTTGTAATAAAAGAAATGAATCACGGATTTTCCCGACTTTAGTAATATAAAGTAGCATTATGTAAGATCTCATCCATTTATCGCCTAGCAGATGCAAGGCTACTACTGGATATTCCAAAGTTAATATGTTGTTATTACATGTGTTAGGTACTAAAGTGGGATTTGCATTTTCCTCTTTATAGTCTACTTATGAAAAATGTTCTGTTTCTTAATTCTCCTCTTGATTTATGCAGACACTGTCATTGATGGAAGAATTCGGGGTAAAACCTGACGTGGTAACATTTAGCAGTATAATGAATGCATGGAGTTCTGCTGGACTGATGGACAAATGCCAAGAAATATTTGACGATATGGTTAAGAACGGCATAGAACCCGACATTCATGCATTTAGCATTCTCGCAAAAGGCTATGTGCGTGCTGGACAACCAGAAAAGGCTGAGGCCCTCCTGAAAGTGATGGGGTCGTCAAGAGTTCATCCAAATGTCGTAATCTTCACTACAATCATAAGTGGATGGTGTAGCACTGGTAAAATGGAGTATGCTCTAAGAATGTACGAGAAAATGTGTGAGATGGATGCATCTCCAAATTTGAAGACCTTTGAAACTCTAATATGGGGATACGGGGAAGCAAAACAGCCATGGAAAGCTGAGGAGTTCCTCCAAATTATGGAAGAGAAGGGTGTGCGTCCTCAGAAGAAAACTATTCAGCTTGTGGCAGATGCATGGCAAGCCATCGGTTTTCTAAGTGAATCTGAGAGAATCTTGAATTTTACTGCAGAAGATCAGATAGTTGCATCTAATTCTAGTCCAGATGAGACACCTGATAATGGCGTAAAAAGGATTTATCGTAAAGAAAAACTTACTGGTTCTTATTCAAATTTGTTACCGACATCTGATACCATTACAGGCTATCAGAATGGATCAACTGCTATCAATTCAAGAAGCCAGATGGTGCTTAAGAGATCCAAGTCATCAGAATGCCAGATCACTGCAGTTAAATCCATTTTACTTGTTCGTACTTGTGGGTTCAAAGCAAAATCGCCAGTGGTATTTTGCAAACATGATTATGTTTTGGCGGGAAGCTATGGGTACTCGGGTTCATGTATGGTGGCATTTTAAGTTTCACGAAGCTCGATTGTCGCCTCGTGACATGCATATTGCAGGATTAACAAATACATGTATCTATGCATCTATATTGTTGGGATTATTCTATGATCATTCATATTGTTTCAACGTGTATCTATACGTTTATACCATGTTATAAAACTTTACATGTATATTGTTTCGACTCGCTCAAAATTATACTTTCCTAATTCAATTTCTGATTCTCATTATCGTGTCCTCAAGAGAGTGCATATTGTAGCTTAATGCTGTTATGTCTGTTTGCAGATGAAATGAAGCTTTATGACTAAGGCCAACTCTTGCTAACTTTTGGGCTAATGCATAAGTTGATTTCCACTCAACTGTAGGGCTGGACAAAACTCTCGAATCCTTCTCGATTCTAGATCCAGAACTGAATAAGAACCGAATTTAAATAAAATTTTTAATTTTTTATATTGAATTAATTAAAACAAATTAACTAATTTAGTGATTAATGTTCTTTAAAACAAATTAATTTTTCTTTAAAACAAATTAACTAATTTAGTGATTAATGTTCTAACTTACAAGTCAAGTCCATGCCTAGTTAGTCCGCCTAACCCAATTTCGAAATTCAATTTTTTTTATTTAATTTTTTTTGGTCCAATTATTAATTATGGAAATTACACCCTTCCTTACTTTTCAAGATCTATATTATAAAATCAGATATGAAGTTTACATTTTCAAAAATCAGATATTTTTTAATTAGATACGTTATAATTATATATATTATAATTACATAATTTAATTACCCAAACCCACACTAATCATTTCATCCCATTTTCTCTCCTCTCTCTCTCCATCCCCGAAGCCAACACATATTACCCAAACCCACCATAATTATTTTATCCCATTTTCTCTCCTCTCTCTCTATCTCCGACGCCACCACACAGCCCCACACCACCGACATCACCACTTCTGGCACCACCTCTCCGGCGACACCACCACCTCCATCACAAGTCGCTTAGGCGACCCTACACCACGAAACTCCGATTTCATCATCAGCGCAGCTTTGATCTTCCGACACTACCACCTCCGATTTTTATTTTGTGGGGGAAAACTGCAGATTGATTGTAAAAATGTCATCTATAGCTACAAGAAAGGTGGGAATGTCAGTTGGGTCCCTGGTGGTGAAGCCTCCCGCACATCCCACTTATGATTTGAATGGCGTTATACAACTTGCCCTCTCAGAAGATGCTGGCGATCGAGGTGAAATTACAATGTTACTGCTTGGTTTTTGTTTTCTGAATTTTATGTGTATTTGGCATTAGATGGAATGTTCTAATTTCTAAATATGATGTGCTTCAAAAATTACTTTTAATCATCAAGTAGTCGTGTAGTTTTGCATATGGGTTGCCCAATGGATTTTTACTAAAAATAGAGAATGCTAGTAAGTTGGAAGTCTAAATTTTGTTTGAAGTCTATGCATCGCTGAAGAGAAATGCTATTTATCAAAACTTGTGATTGTGACTCATTGTAATCGAGTTGTGACCAATAAAAATTTTGATTTTCTCAATATGTGACCTATGAAAAATTTTAATTCGTGACCGAAAAATAACTTGTGACCTATAAAAAATTTTGGATTTGTCATCGATGCATAATATGTGACCTAAAAATTGTTACTGTGTCTCTTGCCTAATTTAGCTCTTCTTTGGTGTCTATTATTTTAAAATCATTTTTAATTACGCATTCATACAATTAAATATTTTGCAAGTGATGAGAATGTCACCAATATAATTTATGAGTTATCAATAAAATTTTGGATTTGTCAGCGATGCATAATATGAGACCTAAAAATTGTTACTGTGACTCACAATTTATTAAGTTGCAATCGAGTTGTGACCAATAAAAATGTTGATTTTGTGATCGATGAATAAACCGTGACTTATAAAGTTTTCTACTTGTGACTGAGAAATACCTAAAAAATTCTTGATTTGTGACCAATAATTTGATAAATTGTGATCGATTTATAATGAATAAATGAATTGCTAAGGCACAAGTTTGAGTTCACAAGTCATGGTCATTTTGTATAGGTCACAAATCAATATAAACGGGTCACTGATCAGTATGATCAATTAATTTAATAGTTAACTATGGCTAAATAATTCGTCGTTAAGGTCACAGATCATTGTCACGAGTTTTGAGATCACAGGTCACGATCACTTTTTATAGGTCACAAGTCAATATTAACAGGTCACATGTGTTTGTAGAGTTACATGTTACATTTTATATTACTAGTCACAACCAACAATCAAGAGGTCGAAAATCGTGTCAACTATACAAAAAAAAAAATGGCGAAGTTGAAACAATTGTCGGAATCGAAGCATTCGTGCGAAACGATAATCGAAAGTCGCNCTGTAGTGTTGTTGTAAATATTAAAAAAATTAATTATGGTACGGAACCGAACAAACCCGAACCGAACCGAACGGAACCGAACCCGAACGGTTCCATAATTATATTTGGACCCGACGGTTCTATTTATTAAATATCCAAAAATTCTGATTCGATTCGATTCTAAAGAGAATCAAAACGAACTATGTCCAGCACTACTCAACTGTGTCTAGCCAAGATAGAGTTGTAAATTTGAGACAAGCAGCAAGACTGTTAATCTATAGGCAGTCTGGCACATGAAAATCCAGGTACATGAATTTGTTCATTGCAAATTTTGTAGAAGGGTGCAATTTTTTGAATGAAAATCTCTTTTCTAGTATATAATACTGTCAAATACAGGAATCACTAGAAAAATCTCTTCCGTGTGTCTTGACCAACTTCCGATCCAGATATCCCATTTGAGTCCCATTCTTTAATATTAATCTTGTTCTAATGCATAAATTGGGGAAAAATTAGATTGGTAAAGGAAATAAATTGTGGGTCTAAGTGAAAATCAACAATTACTCTCCTTTCTATTCTTGAAAAACATGGAAATCAATTAAATGAAGCATTTTCACTGGATGCGTTCTCACTGTGTACCAGTACATCTATAACGATTCCAAGGCACCTGAACTTAGATTTTTTTTTTAGGCTAAAATGCATATTGCACGTCTCAATTAAATTTCATCAAATAAACAAATCTACAAGTTGTGATGTACACAAAGTATAACAGAATTTTAGAAGCATAAATTAAAAAGGATTCAATAAAATAATAAAACTAATTATGGAATTAATTTGAATTATTATTATATAAAAATCACTTGATTAAGAACAACATATGAAGGACCTTGCTTGATGTACGTAATTTTTGTACATAAGGATGCCCTTTCCTTCACATGGGATGGGACCCATGTGAGCGAAAGAACACCCTCATGTACACTTTATTATGTAACTGTGAATCTCATCCCATGTGAAAGAAATGACATCCTTATGTACATTTTTTTATGTACACCAAGCATAATTCAGGTATGAAACTTAAATGTGAGCCTACCATGCGAAGAAAGTGACATCTTTATATATATATTTTTATGTACACCAAGCATAATTCACCTATGAAACTTGAATTAAACTTGTTTACCCAAAAAAAAAATGCTATGTTGTCATAAAGAGTTGACCCCCCTTCTAACCGACCCCTCACATGGGAGCTAACATCTTTTGATGCACTTTTATTGAACATGAACCTTCAGATAGATTTTACCCTCATGTGAGTGGATGTCAAAAAATGTATACATCCTTCTGACAATTTGCCAAAAGTTTTAACACCCTTCTTGACATTCACTCACATGAAAATGAAATTTATATGGAGATCCATGTGCAGTAGAAGTAGAATTTTGCTATTTGTACATCAAAGATTAAACCTCAATGTATGCCCCATCACAATAGGAGAATCCACGATGGCCATGGAACCCTAGTATATAGAGGTTGTACACTAAAGTGTGACATAGCAAAACCCGTAAAAATAACCCCTTCGGTAACTTATGTTAATATAATAATTGTAGAGATACATAATTCTTGTACAAATAGTAGTACAAAACAATCACGTGGTTTATATAACACTCACATGGAATGAGCCTCACGTGAGTATTATATACTTGTTCATGTACAAAAATTATATATCCCTAACAAAACCCATGCTAGTATTGACCACGCCCAATGAAATAGAGAATTCCCGCCTGATCTTTCTATTTTTATTCTTTTCAATTTAAATAAGATGTGAAAAACGAATATATTAAGAAAATAAGTAATTGGTTAAACATGGGATTTATGGAGTTTTTTAACGCTAGATCCCTATCGGGAACACTAACGCTACTGAAGATAATTAGGATGAACATAGTCAAATTCATCAAATAACTTTCCAGTAAATTTTGATAAGACTGATAAAATATGACTAAAAATTTGTCTCCCATAAAACATTTAATTAAAACTAATTGTTAACTTTCACGGGGCACGTTTAATTTAATATATTCCTATGAAAAAGGTTCCTACTTACAAGGGTTTAATTAACATTTTTTTTCATAAAAATTATTCTTAAAAAATTACTCACGTACTGATATTTTCCTGAAAAACAGAGAATACATTTTCCTTATAGGGGATAAATTTTTATTAAATACACCATTTTTTATGCTAAAAATTAAGTCAATCAAACACAACAATTCTCATACAAGCAAATTCTAGACAATTCAATTATTTTCTTTCCATGCTTACTATCAAATACATTAATTTCAACCCCTACCAGCTCTCCCACACTTATAAATTTGAACTTGATGTCTTGTAAAAGGTATCATCATTTTCCTTCGTTATTCTTTGCAAGAATGCATCATTGATAACTCTAGCCTCAATATCAGCAAGATTACTAAAAATTGTAGTTTAGAAAAATGTAGTTTAGACAAATAATTAATTTCATTTCAACAAAATTCTATATTGATCTCCTCAGAGCTCTGGAGATTATATAGTTTTCACAAACGTAGCCTCATCATCAGCATGGATCACAGAGATTCCCCGCCATAGCAAATTGAGTTGGGCATACAGGAAAACATGTAGTTCCTCAACGT